GTATCTTAAAAAGCAGAGACATCACCTTGCCAACAAAGGTCTGCATAGTCAAAGCTGTTGTTTTTTCCAGTAGTGTTGTATGGAAGTGAGAGCTAGACCATAAAGAAAGCTGACTACCGAAGAATTGATGCTTTTGAATTGTGTTGATGGAGGAGACTTTTGAGAGTCCCCTGGATTGTAAGGAGATAAACCTATCTATTTTGTAGGAAATGAACCCTGAGTGCTCACTAGAAGGACAGATCCTGAAACTGAGGCTCCAGTACTTTGGCCATCTCATAAGACTGCCTGGAAAAGATCATGATGTTGGGAAAATGTGAGGGCAAGAGTAGGGGATGACAGAGGACAAGATGGTTGGACAGTGTCATCGAAGCTACCAACATGAATTTGACCCAACTCCGGGAGGCAGTGGAAGACAGGAGGGCCTGGTGTGCTCTGGTCCATGGGGTCACGAAGAGTCAGACAGGACTTAATAAAAAATAACAACAAAAAATCTTAAGGGTTTGCCCTTCACAATGAGGAAAACAGCACTGTATTTTTATTAGGTTTCCCTGAATGTGTTACTATATCTGTATATGTAAATGGAAACCCAGGGAGACTCTCAGAAATATTTACTAATTTTCCATAATTTTCTTACAGTCATTTCCTTTAAGACACTCAAATTCACAAAATCAGGTAGTGATTCATCACCTGCCACCAGGATATGGGTGCAGGCCTGTTTGAACATCCCAGCTTCAGGCATAAGCCATGCAGTCACCTGTATCTCATCATTATTTATTTAGTTTTGTTACATTTATATCCGTCCTCTCTTCCAGTGAGTTCATGGTAATATACACAACTCTCTTTCTCTTTTTATGGCATTTATGCTGAAAACACACAGAAAGGTCAATGTGGCTGAGTCACAGATGATGAAATCAAAAGGCACAATAACAGAAAGAAAGAGGGGTTTATTTAACGATAATGTCATCACTTATTCACACATATAAGAAAATAAGGTATGTCATCTTTACATTTGTGCTGTTACAGAATTTTAGAAATTAAAACATGTGTATTAGATTATATATGCATTAAATAACTTTTATGTTCAACCATGGAAGTCAAGTCAGTGCCAGAATGACACATGAGGAAGGGAGGAGGTTAAAAACATGACAGCATAAAGGCTCTACAGTTATACTTATATCACGTCATGGCCACAGGCCAGAATGACACATGAGGAAGGGAGGAGGCTAAAAACTGAATGACAGCATAAAGGCACTACAGTTATACTTATATCACGTCATGACCACAATCAAGAGAAGACTGAAAGGACACTGATCAGGCAACATACAAAACAAATAGCTTGCACAGCAAATATGTCATAGACCTAATAGTGTTAATTAGAATACATTAAGAGGGTGCCACCTAAGCAAGTACAGGCAGCATAGCAAATCTTGTTAGAAACACTGCAGTATCAGGATGGACCATGTGAGGGCAGCCCAAGTTAAGGAACCCTCCAATTTTGTATCCAAACGGCAAGCACACCCACCTACTTCCAGGATTAGACAGTACAATAGTTGCAAACCTAGCAAAATCGCTGTTTCTTTAAGGCCTATCAGAATTGATCCCTACCTCCCAAGTGAGAAATCACAAACCCAGTAGAAAGCAGCGGTGCTTTTCAAATTTCCAATGGAACTAAAATGAGTGTTTACCTTAATAAAAGTCCTTTTCCTATTCATACTCTGCACTTGTGTCCCACCCCTCATGCCAATATTGCTGTAAATATTTCAGCTGTAGATAAGTTTCAAAAAATATATCCACTTTTTGTCCAGTAAGAAAAGTAAGAATGGAGGAAGAAAAACGTAACAGAAATATAATTGGAAGGAGGAAGGAACACAAGAAAAATGTGTATGGTAAGAAGAATACATATAACGGCTGTAAGGTATGAAAACGGCCAACATGAAGCCATTCAGGGAGAAGGGAAAGGAAGGCGACACAGAAGGCATCTACAGGATAGGATCCAGGGCTTGGGGCAGTGACATTTTGGAACTACAATTCTCAGAAACCGGGACGGGGCGATATCCTGAAAGGTACAGTTCAATTAAAAAAAAATAAAAGTGTTTCTCCATCTAGAATTGCAACCTTGGGAAATCCCCTTCCCGAACTTCTTCCATCGGAGTGGTGGCTTGGGCGCGGGTTCGGCAGGTCGACGAACGCCTCCGCCCTTCCCACAACCCGGAGGGGGGGGATGGCCTGAGAGCCCGAGGGCCCTGCTTTGGCGTTGCCAGTTCGTCTCCTTTTCCTTCCCATGCCCGCCGCTCAACGAAAACGGCCACCGGGGACCACGTTGCAGCTCTCTTGAAGAAAGGCACTCAGGCACACGAAACGGTCATTCCGTGACCTCTCGGTGAACTTCAACAGGCCAGGGGCCTCGTTGAGGCGGCCCCGCGCAAACAGCCAAAACAGGGAACCCCACCGGAGTAACCCTCGCCCGGCTTGCCGCAAAGCGCGCCGTTCCCACGCGCTCTTTGCCGCTCTCGCCTGGTCGCGCGGGAACGGCGCGTCTTCCGCGCTTGACGGTAGTTCGCCTCACCGGCAGTCTCCCCCTCTCGCGGCCCGTCATATTCCCCCTGAAGATGGAGCGTCCGCGTTGAGTGAGTCTCCCTTTCCTACAACGGACGACGCGGCTTGCACCGGCCGCCATGGCCATGGCCGCCTCCGGCAGGGCGGTGGACCGGACCCTTTTCGTGGGAAACCTGGAGAGTCGCGTGGGCGAGGAGATCCTCTACGAGCTGTTCCTGCAGGTGCCAGGCAGGGGGCGGGGCCAGGTCGGAGAAGGGGAGGGGCCAGGGAGCGGGGGGCGGGAGAGACAGACAGACAGACAGACAGAGACCCCCGCAGACGCCCACGGAGTGGGTGCGCCAGGGAACGGGGTCCTTGGCGTCTGCCGTGACTTCAGAATAAGCCTTTCCAGGGATGGCAGGGGGGAAAAAAACAGAGGGTGGGTTGCTCTGACGACGGCGTGTTTACCAAGCCAAGGGTGTCTGCAGCGCTTTAGGTAGGTTGGGAGCTCTATTCCCTTCCTCCCTCCCCCCCCGGCCCTCCTTGACAGGGGCTGGACTCGATGATCCCCAGGGTCCCTTGGCCAGCTCTGCAGGGCTGAGATGGCCCTAGTGTCGACTGTGCCCCCAGAGAGAGAGAGCCTGGTGGGCTGTGAAGGATGAACGCAGCCTTTTCTGCAGGAATTGCCCACGCTTACTCAATACAGGACTGGAATGTTGCAGGAACAGCGCAATGCATCGTTCAGCCCTGATGCTGCTTCTTGTTCTGCTTTGCAAACATCGGGTGCTCTCGGTTTAGAAATATTCAAAAATAGATATGATAGATAACACTAGGAGCGGTTATTCTTGCAGTTAGGTAAGAATATGTCTGTCCTCTCTCAGAAATATTCTGTTCAGTCATTGCAGGGGATGTTAACAGCTTTTAGCCTTTTCCCCTCTTCCCTGGAAGTGTAAAGTATATCAAGCTCTTAAAAGTAAATTTATAGTGTTTTCCTAGTTGTCTGACTCCAGGAATCTAAATCAGATTCCTAAATCAAAAAGAGATAAAATCCGAAATAAGTTTGCGGTTTGTGGACACAACAATGGAAGCTGCAATTCCAAACATGCTCCTGTTTTTCATTTTGGGACTGAGTTTTACTGTAGATCCCATGACTTTAAACTGTTTATCTAGCTCAGTTTTTAGAATGATATACCTCACCAGACCTGATTTTTTTTAATTACCTAGCTCAGTGAAGATACTTGGATAACTTGAGAGCTCACGTTATGTCTTATAACTCATCCTAATAAAGCTATTCCTACAAGTGGACCACAGAAATTGAACTCTATATATTGATGAAAATTGCTGGACTGGCAGCATAATGTCATGTGTTTGATGCTGGGTATTGTCAAATATCGCTAGTATTGTATATATTCTGCTGAGATGGTTCAGCAAATCTCAAGGCAGGAAGTAAAAAGCAATTTAAGTGAAAGTAATATTTAAGTTTTTTTGCAGGCTGGACCAGTAACCAAAGTGACCATATGCAAGGACAAAGATGGAAAACCCAAGACTTTTGGATTTGTCTGCTTTAAACACACAGAGTCAGTGCCTTATGCTATAGCTTTGCTCAATGGGATTCGTTTATATGGAAGACCAATTAAAGTGCAATATCGGTTTGGTAGGTTTAGCTACCTGCCAATAATTCTTGATTTTAAAAATAAAAACTAGTCTCTCTAGAATTAAAGTCATGCATAATCCTACAATGAGAAATAATATGTAAATAAGTACAGCTGAATAAAATACAGAGCAGGTGTGTGTTACATTAAAGATATTAGGTATCTTTATTTGGGGAAAACACAAAGCAAAATACTTTTATCATTTAATATTGTTCTGCTTTTAAATACTAGCAACTTTGCAATATAGCAAGTATTTCTAGTTCTGTTAGAATAAATGGAGTATCTTGTAGAGACAGTTTTGTTTTCAAAGAGAATATGAGATAAAGGAAATTCTCTGTGAGGAATGCTTTTATTCTTTAAATATGTGCTCTGTTTTCTAGCTGATAATTTGTTGTCCATGAAATGCTCAATGAAATAAAACCTATCCACAGTGGTTTTGCCCAAACTGCCCCCCTTTTACCTTTTCTTTCTTCTTGCAAGTTAGTTGGTACGTGTAATTCCCCCTCCCTTTTTCCCTTTTCAGTTTTGTCTGCTATAGACTTGAGCTTGATAATAATTGTCAAGGGACTGGTTGTCCCCCTTTCTCATGCAATGTAGCAGAAATAATTGTTTGCATTCTTTCAAGAGTTTTCAGCCCCTTAGGCTAGGAACTGCTTGGGTTTGTTTGTTTGTTTTTGTTTTTGCTTTACTATTGATCTGCAGTGAATATGCATAATTCCCTACACTCACAAATAGTTAGCTATTATTCCGAAACCTATCTTGGGCTGCATCTTGTGCTTCTGGTCATAGAAATTTAGATTGTTCCCTTTGTTTTTTGAGCATTTGGCTGTTATAATTAGGTTCTTGAAACTTTCCTGCTTTCAAAAATAGTTCACTGTATAATATGGGCCACTATAGCTAGAAAACCAAGCCTAGAACCCCCTATTTGGCTAACAGCAACACTATCAAGATTTAATGTAAGCCTGCCTCCCTTCCTCCAGTTTTTTAAAATAGTGCTTTAAATAAACTGGATATGGAATGTTATTTTTTTTCTGGATTTTATCCCTATATTTCTCTATTGGAATTTATCATATATTTCAGACAAACAGATGTTATAGATGGCTGACTTAAAATGACAAATCTTAATTCTAAATACTTTTGTTCCAATCACAGGGAGTTCTCATCCTCCTGAATTAAGTAGTCCTTGCCAAAACATGGAGAATGATGTACAGTCTCCAATATATAGGTATTCTTTCCAGTTTGAAAACATTAAGAGTTTTGTTTTACAGGTATAAATTCTGCTCTCGTGTCAACTATTTCATGTAATTGGGCAAAGCATCTATGTAGTGAAGGTTTCTGTTAACATTCCTAAACATCAGATCTAATCCCATATAGAAAGAGGTTTTAAAACACTGCCAGATAGCTTTTGGTGATCTTAACTGTGCAATTGAAAGCATCCTCTTGAACTCTGTAAGTGTTGGATTGCATTGGTAGAAGGTTTGTTTGTTTGTTTGTTTATTGTCTTTGTAAGTATATACACAGTACTGTATACCCATACCATGAAATTCACAGACATCCAGAGACCAGACACATGCACACACATAAAATTCCCCAAACACTCCCCACCCACTAAAAAAAATCCCCCAACACTCCCCACCGACTAAAAGTCCCCCACTAAAAATACAAACATCTACACCGCAGGCCAAGTAACACAGTCCAACTAACTATTCACTACTGGTGGTCTTTAAGCTCATTATTAACTGCAATTATAGCTCTGGGATAAAAACTATTCAGAAAACGTGTGGTCCGAGTCTTAATTGTTCTATATCTTCTGACAGTGCCAGCCTAAACTTTGGTGAGAGAATATAACTGGTCTTCCAGATTTCGCATTGATTCAATTGATTCAATATGCTGGTTTTATCATCCAAAATTATTTAAGAAAAAATCCACCCTTCCTGCTCAGAACTCATTCCTAAATTATGTGGAATCCTACACCGTAATGTACATCCAGTCCTAGCTCTATTCACCTTGGTATCTCTTTTTATACAGTTAGAGAATTAAATCTCAAAGAGATTTATGATGTTGTCACCTACATCAGAGTAGGCAAAGTGCAGGCCACCAAATACAGTGGTACCTCGACTTACGAACTTAATCCGTTTTAGAACGGCGTTCATACGTCAAAAAGTTCGTAAGTCGAAGTACCATTTTCCATTGAAATGCATGGGAATGTAATTAATCCGTTCTAGCATTTAAAGAAAAAAAATTACCTTCAGAGGTCTCAAAGGGCTTCCTCTGATGTCGGGTGGAAAGCCCTTTGAAACTTCCAAAGGCAAAAAGGAAGGCAGAAAGGGCTGGAAATTCGAAATTTCCAGCCCTTCCTCCCTGCCTTTTTGCCTTCAGAGGTCTCTAACATCTTCCTCCAATGTCAGGGGAAAGCCCTTTGAGACTTCTGAAGGTGCCGATTGTGGCGGCGGGGACCCCCATTGAGGTCTCCCAGGTCTTCCCCGCCACCATGGGAGACCTCCCTGGGGGTCCCCACCGCCACAAGGCTCCTTTGGAGGTCTCAAAGGGCTTTCCCCCCAACATCGGAGGAAGCTGTTTGAGACCTCCTTAGGCAAAAAGGCAGGGAGAAAGGGCTGGAAATTCAAAATTTCCACCCTTTCTCCCTGCCTTTTTGCCTTTGGAAGTCTCAAACGGCTTCCTCCGATGTCAAGGGGAAAGCTCTTTGAGACCTCCAAAGGCGACAAATGGCTCCATTTGCAAAAAAATGGCATTTACTTGCAAACGGAGCCTCGACCTCGTTTGTAGGTCGAGGCTCTGTTCACAAGTCGACATCAATTTTTGCAAACGGAGCCATTCGTAAATAGAAAAGTTTGTATGTAGGGACGTTCGTAAGTCGAGGGTTGACTGTATTCTTGCAACTTCCGGTTTTATTCTTCAGTGGCTAATGCTGGCTAAGACTGAGGGAAGTTGCAGTTTGAAAGGATCTGGAAAACTGTACTGACCTCTCCCCCCTGGAAATGAATCCCATTGAATGCACTGAGGTTTGTTTGTTTGTTCTTGTCCATGTATAACACTAACCAGTAATTCAGATCTATATGTATTTGTCATTAATTTTGGACAAATGTATGATAATTAATTCATCACATGCCCACATTTGTGTGTTACTGTTTTTGTAGGAATGTGGAGCCTTATGGTGGTACTGCATCACATGCTAGTCCTTTTCAGATAAATAACAATCCACATCAGAGTTATTCAGCCTTTCAAAACATGGTAAGTTTGGAATAATGATCATAACCTGTTACAGAAAAAAAAGAAAATATCATTTTTTGCAACAATTTTATTTCAATGTGAACTTTTGTGAATCAAAGTCTACTACTAAATTGTTTTCTTTCTTTGTTCTTTTCCTTTGCTAACATTCTGAGATAGATTAACACAACTACATCTTTGGAAATCCATCACAATAACAGATACTGTAGGCAAGTTGCGGTGCTTATGTGACACTCTCAGGAGGGTCTTGCCCTAACCACTCTGCCACACTATCCTGCTATTCCTGATTGTGTGTGAGATTTAGAAGGGTCCTAGCTACAGAATCTTCTAAAAACCTTACAGTGGTGCCCTGCATAGCAACGTTAATCCGTTCCAGGATTAACGTCGCTATCCGGAAACATCGCTATGCGGGGGGGGGACCCCATAGGAACGCATTAAAGATCCTCCATAGGGGGGGCCATTTTCGGTGCCTCTTAAGCGAGGAAACAGCGGGCGGCCATTTTGTTTACCCAGCGGCCATTTTGAAACCGCCAATCAGCTCGCCGAAAATGGGGGCTTCGCAATGATCGCTTCCCTGCGATCATCACAAAGCGAAATTTCCTCATAGGGACCATCGCAAAGCGATCACTTTTGCGATGGCAAAAAGTCCATCTCAAAGCAATTTCATCGCTATACAGAGCAATCGCTATGCGAGGCACCACTGTACTTTTGTGTCCTATTGGATGGATCCAGACTAGAAATGGGCATGAAGCCAGCTCTGCCTTGTCTGTTGGGAGTCCACTCAAGAGCCAGTGTCCTGGCTTCTCTGTCCAATCTCCAGATGTTGCCTCTGAGTGGATGCCTACTGGACGAGGTTGTGCTGAATACCTGTTTTTCCAAAGGACTTAACTGGCTATTCACGCCCATGTCTAATCCAAACTAATGCATTTGTAAGCACATTTGCTAACTTTTTCCTTGCTGATGTCCATCTGCAATTTGATATGATGTATTCTGGGCTGGGGCAGTAGCATAGCAGTCCAACAATGAATAGTATTCAACTGGCAAGGAGGTATTGTTCAGACAACTGAAGTGGGAGTATATGTGCAGTGGCATGTCTTCAGTACATAATTTATGTGCTGTAGACCCTCATTATGACCACCACTTGGTACTGTGTTTTGTGTTTGAACTGCAAGTGACTTTGTGAACTCTCTTTTGAAGTGACAGACTGTACCTGTAGTCAACTTTACTGTGTTTGTATGTATAGCTAAAAAATAACTTATTTTTACAAGCTACCTTTATAATTCAAAATACTGCGTACCAAGAGAAGCTGGTCAAATAACTTTTGTTCTCTGTAACTAGCAATAGTGTCTAAGGATCAAGCTTTGAAATGGTAATTATAATCTGTCTTCTGTTTCCTAGATGACATGTCTTTTAGCCCAGCAGTGTACACCTTTTAGTCCGATCGGGCAGCCATTTCCTTACTATCAGATGACGACACCACCACCACCACAAGTTCCCATTTTTCCTCTATCGCCCTACCTGAATCCAGGAGAAAACTCTTTTGAATGTGTCTACTCAGAACTGAATAACCATTCACAGTATCTAGTTAAGGAACATGCACATAAACGAAAAAGACTTCAGGAAACTAGTGACAGTGACAGTAGCATGGAAAATGACAGGAAAAAAACAAAGAGAAAATGAATAAAAATATATAAACTGGAATAGGCTTGACTGCATAGTTTTCAAAGGGCGGAAAGCTCTTTACATTTCACAGTATAGATTCACAAGAAATACGTAACCTCAATCTGAAGAAGAGTGATTGGTTTGTGATGAATTATTATACAAGGTAATTCAGAGAATAAAGGAAAAGTAGTTTTTTAGAGTTCTCTTTCATCATTGCCTTATTCTTCATCAGTGATTAAAAGTATACATACATATTTTAAAAATACAGGAAGCATTATAGCCTCTCCTAATAGCTTCATCCACAATAAATGTAAGTTGACTTCAGGATGTCTTAGTTATTCAACAGTGTTTGAGTAGCTTCTTGCCCTGCCCCCCCCCCTTCTGCGTTCCTCACACAATTCTTGAAGCTTGGTTGTGTAGGCCTATGGAAACAACATGTGAAGAGACTTCTGGTGGTAGGCTGCAGCCCATTCAATCATTCTTAATTGTGTGTTCTCCACATGCAGTGAGGGGAGCATGTTAGCCCTGCCACATCCACAGATTCTTTCAACATGCAAAATACTCTGAATACTCTGAGAGTACTGCATCTACATGAGCCAAAATCACATTATTTTCTGTTGTCTTGCTTAGGTGGATACTGCAGTCTCGTGCTCTTCATTCTGTTGCTTTTGCAGGCTGAAAGTGATAATGGGGGCAGCATGGAATACACATGCTTTAAGAATGACCGAATAAGGGCTTTTATGTGGAGAACATTTAGACATGTAGGCAAAAAAATTCTTGCACATAAAAATCTAGTGTTAGGCTTAAGTTATAGACTTCTCTCTGTTGCACTCGCTTCCCTGTAGAAGGTGTTTGTATATTTAAAGTTTTTCTATTTATTTTTAATTGCAGAGAAATATCCAAATAACAATTCAGCTGCAGGCCCCAAAAGGCTGTGTCACTTTCGTACCTGAACTGGCCTTAGGGGTGGTGAGAGCATACTTAGAAATTACTACTGATTCTGAAGGGACTTAGTGCCCAAATAGGTGCACATATGACTGCAACCTCACTTAGACAGAGGAAAGTATGTTAGTATAATCAGTTGGATTATGTTCTGGATAAATATGGTAATGATCTGAAAATTATGTATGCAAGGAAACAGAATATTATAGGCTAACGTTTATTGAAAGCAGCATGACAATGAAGTAGTTTATCTAAAAATATTTGGTTAAACTTGAAAACAAATATGCCTCATAAAAATATGTTTTTGAAATGGAAAATGCCAAGGATTTCTGCTTTGCAAAATATGTGTCACATACTATGTATGTTTTCTAATGGAAAAAAAAAATCTTGATCCTTCATACAGTGTTACAGTTGGTTGCAAATACAATAATAAAGTTTGTGGTTAAAATCTACTTTTTCATAAAATATTATTTGTAGCTCATGAGCTTTGCTGGGGTTTTTTTCAGAATCAAAACTAATACCAATCAAGAAACGATTTTAGATTTATATATAAAGAATACAAAGATTTTTTTGTACTGGAAAATGAATGGATCAGAGGCATGCATACTTAATATGAATAGAGTGGATGATTGTATACTCTGTGTTCTCCTATCCTCAAAACCCTTTTCCCATCCCCTCCACTCCCTTTTACCTTTTGTATTCCCTACCCCATTCCTAGTAGATTAAAAAAAATAAATTAATAAAAAAAGAAAAACGATTTTAGATTAACAGGAACGAGTGATTTTAAGGATAGCATTGAATTGTGAACTTCTAGTAGTGAAATGGCAGATTTGGAAATTAGCTCCATCTGCATTCTAGTCTTCACTGCACCCTCATTATTTTCATTTATTACATCTGCACCTCACCTTTCTACTACAAAGTAGTGCTCGAGGCAGATTGCTATCTTCATTAAAACAATAAAACAAGTCATAGAATCATTTAAATCAAATAAATCCAGCCTTACCATAAAAACATTAAAATCAGCTAAATACACAGTTGTTGTTGATGATGATGATGAATTTATTTATTTATTTATTTATTTATTTATTTATTTATTTATTTATTGATGACCTCTAAGGTTAAAAAAGGGCAAGGAGGGAGGGAGCCTTTTTCCTGGTTGGGGACCTAACTGGCTGCCTTTGAGGCTGATGCAGAAACTTCAGGTAGTGCACAATGCTGCGGCCAGGCTCCTTAGTGGAGTGAGAAAATTCCATCATATCTCTCCTACTCTGGCCACACTGCATTGGCTTTGTTTCCGCATCGACTTCAAAGTTTTAAAGCTTACTTATAAGGCCCTAGACGGTTTAGGACCTCGATATTTGGTGGAACGCCTGCTCCCACCAAGGTCTACCCGGATCACCCGTGCGAGTCAGGAGGTGAGGCTGAGGAGCCTGACACTCAGAGAGGCCTGGAAGGAAAAGACACGAAATCGGGCCTTCTTGGCGGTGGCTCCTCGCCTCTGGAACAACCTCCCTCCGGAGATTTGCGCAGCCCCCACACTGGGTATCTTTTAAAGCCAATTAAAAACATGGCTGTATAGTCAGGCCTTCCCTCCAATCAATACCTGATTTTTCTTTTTCCTTTATTTCTTACGCTATCTTTGTATTGTAATTTGTTATTGGATGATTTATGTAATATTCTTGTGTTATTTTATTGTTTTGTGTTGTATTGGAAGCCGCCTAGAGTGTTCGTATAGACCAGATGGGCGGGATACAAATCAAATAAATAAATAAATAAATATGTCCCAACAAGGGACCCAAAGCGGCTCACAACATTAAAATTCATATAATTTGAAAACACGGTAAGTGTTACATACCAGTTCTAAAAGATGTATTTTTACACTTTCCCAAAGGCAGTGAGAGTGGAAACGGAGCTCTGAAAGGAGTATAATTTTACATTTTGGAAGCCACAGCCCTCTTGTGTTCTGTAAGGTCAGCAACTGTTGGTATTCTTAAGAAGGCCTCTCCTGAAGATCTTACCATCTGGGCAGGTTCATAACGAGAGAGGTGGTCTCAGATGGCCAGACCACAAACTGTTTAGGGCTTTTAAAACTAAAAGCATCATCTTGAAACAGGCTCAATAAGCAATTGGTAACCGGTGTGGTTTTTCAGGGTATATGACCACCCATCAATTAGCAGCCTAGCTGCCACATAGTGTACCTACTGAAGATCCCAGACCTTCTTCAAGGGTAGCCCCATTAAGAGTAGACTGCAGTAGTCAAGAGATGGGCAATTAAGGCATTGATCACTGTAGTTGAGACAGGTTGATTCAGAAAAAATCATAGTTGGAGAACTGAGAGTTGTGCAATGCACTCTTTGTCACTGCTGTTCCTTTAGAACCAAGGGACGGTACAGAATCAAGGAGTACTAGAGTACAAATCTGACCTGTCGGGATGAATGCAGAGGAGGTTGACTCTGTCATGAACCTGTCTTTCTAGTGACCAGGAGCACATCCATCCTGTCAAGCTTTAAGTTTAGCTCGTTCACTCTCCTTTAGCCCATTATGGAGCTCAGGCAGTTTTCAAAGGTCCTGACCACTTCCTTGGTGTTGGGTCACAAGGAGCAATAAAACTGGGTGTCACCAGCATACTGGTGTCAACACACTCCAAAGCTTTGCAAGACCTCTCCCAGTGGCTTCAAGCACATGTTAAATGATACAGAGGATGAAGAAGGATCCTGGTGGTGGATATCACATGTCAAAGGTGATGATATTGAGTGTGCCCTGACAGGAAGAATTGAATTCATTTTAATATAGTGTCTCCAATATCTAACCTAGCCTAGTCAGGGTTTCAGAATGCCACCGAAAGATCTTGGAGAACTAATAAAATTTGGTCCCCTTACCAAATCTCCACCATAGGTTACCTATCAAGGTGACCCAAGCAGTCTCAGTAGTCCAAAGCCTGACTGAAATGGGTCCAGCTAATCCGTGTCATCCAGGAGTGGTTCGAGTCGCAACCACTGTAAACCAAAGTACAGTAGTTATTTTCTGTGATTCACCAATCAAACAATAAACCTGTTATATTTGGCAGCCCGTATCTAAGATACACATTTGGTACAGTGTGGATAAAGATCCACTGGTGGCAACGTGTAAAAGGGGGAAAACAATACATCGTGTCCGAAGGTGGACATGTGTGTGAGGGAACATAACCAGGGGACACTGAGGGAACGCAACAAAGTGTCACAGTCGTCTTCAGATGTGAGATCATGCACTGGGAAACTGACCTGCCTGTTCTCCTCCTGGCTTTTGAATACAGAATGGCAAAAATCCTTGGACGAGGGGACCACAACTCCTGGGCAGATGGTGGGCAAAGGCAGACCTTCGCCTACTCTGATCTCGACATTGCCAGGTCTGGATGAAGACCTACGGAGGCCCTCAACGACCCCAAACTTGGAAAGCCCCAGGGTACTCCTCCTAACACATTTTTTGGTTGGAAGGCTTGCCCATCAATGCATGTGGACAAGTGGGGAGGCGCATGGCAGGCAGGGGACGCCTTTCCTCCACGCAGCATTAGCCCCTTCGGCACTCAAGAGGCAGGGCAGAGCTTCAGCGAAAGGAGGTCGGTCCGCTCGCCTCGCCTTCTGGACAGCTGACTGCCCAAGCTTTTCACCTTTCCCCCCTTATGGCGTAAACATCGCTCGGCGGGCCCGGGAGTCCCGCCCCGGTTCGCCCTCTGCCGCTGGGTTGGCCGCCGGCTCCAGCTGGGCGTCGGAGGAGCTCAGCCGGTTGGCGCAGTCGCTGCCGGTCGCCGCCCCAGGAGGGACGCCAGGGCTGAACGAGGAAGAAGGCGCGCCCGGGAGAGGCCGGCGACAGTCCTCGCCGCGTCCTTAGGGTAACAGCGCGGAGATGCCGGGAGAATCACGCGGCCGCAAGGGGAGCGCCGCCGGCTACGAGCGCTTGCGGCCTTTCAGCCGGAAGGTAACGGCCTTGGCGCGGCTCAGTTGCGGCCCGGGGTGGGGGCGGCAGGCTGCGTGTTGCCTTTGCGGAGATAACTTGCTCTCTGTCCAATCGAGTTTTAGGCGTCTGTTCCAAATCGGGGACGGTCATCCCTCGCCTGGAAACTACCTCCAGTAGCTGGTCGGAGCTACCTGTGTTTACTCTTTGCACTCTGCTTGTGCTCAGAAACATCTCTCCTTGCAGAGTACTAGGAAAGAGCTCGTGAGAACCCCTCTCCCATGCCCAGAGCAGCGTAGTCGTGGTATTAATTCAGGAGCTGCCGGGGAAGGTGCAGAGGAGCCCCGAGAAGATGGACAGATAGATCTTCCTTTGCTCTTGGTTTCTTGAGTCCGCCGGGACAAGCGTGGGGATGTTTGAATTGAGGTCTCAAGCGGAAGCCGGGTTCGTGTGTGAGCATTGTGCTTTGTTACACTCCCATTCCACCTTTGGAAAGCTCCTGAATTATAAAAAGCCAAAAGATTTATTAGGCGTCAATTTCATTTTGGGAGGTAGATATTTCGTTCTCCTGAAAGACTGGAAGTTTGACTCTGAGAGCTGGAAGAGCATCTTCCTGGGTAAAACAGGATGACAGGACTTTGCTGTACAAGTGGGTTGGAGTGGAGTAGATAGGGTGAATTAAAACCAGGTAGATATCCTATATGCCACGTGGTATGATCTTCACATCCCCATGGTATACTTCGTTCAAGTGCTACTATTTGATCTGCATCCTGTAAGAAAGTAGTGAAATCTTCCTCCTGCTTCTGGGAGGAAGATTTCAAATTTTAATTTCCTCAAAGAGGTACTGTACCGTGCATCATTGCTGCCCTAATTGGCTCCACTTCTTTCTCTCCCCCTCTCCACATTGCACCCTTCCTCTGTTCTGTGGAAGAGTATAGGAAATAAGTTTTTTATTTCCCAATTATCCCATTTCATTAAGCGGTTCAGCTGCCTCTTTAAGCTCTAGAATAGTCTGCCCGCAGAGATCTGCCTGGCTCCCTCTCTGGGTGTTTTTAAGAGCAAACTAAAGACCTGGCTCTTTAGGCAGGCTTTCCCTCCTGTCATCACCTAATGACTTTCCCACTTTGAGTTATATTGTTACTGTTGTTAATTATATTGTTTTTGCTTTTATGTCTTATTGTTAGCTACCCAGAGTAGAATTCGGTCTAGATGGGCGGGTATAAATCAATCTGAATGATCAAACCATTGGCCCATCAGTATTATCTATACTGAATCAGAAAGTTAAATAAATTGTTGAGCTAACAACAACCCTAACAACATTCCTAGTAACATTTTAGGTATGTGTAATAAACATGTAAGAAGACTTTTGGAAGGTGGATGGATTTATATTATGGTGGCAGTGTTGGCTTTACCTTCTCATTTGCACAAGCAAGCTAGATCTTGGGGCCAGTGTACTTTAAGATGGGATCTTTTGATTAGAGGATTGTGATTAACTCTTTCTAGAGGGCTAGCAATGGTGATGTGTTGCAACAAGAACCCACAAACTGCCCCATGGCACCTTACACACTGATACCTTTTACCTGGCATAAACTTTTATGATTTGCAACTCATTTAATCAGACTTGATTCTGCCAAATGAAAGTCAAATACACTGGTGCCTCACATTCCGACATTAATTCGTTCCAGCGAAATCGCTGTAGAACGAAAACGTCATAATGCGAAAATAAAAAGCCCATTAAAACACATTGAAACTCCTTCAATGCGTTCCAATGGGCTGGAAACTCACCGTCCAGCGAAGATCCTCCATAGGGGCGGCCATTTTCAATGGCTGTCTTGCGAGTAATCCATCCCAGAAAACAGCGGGGAGCCGTTTTGTTTACCCGGGGGCCATTTTGAAACCGCCAATCAGCTGTTGGAAAATCGTCATTTTGCGAAGAATCAGTTCTCGAAGCAGGGAACCGATAATCGCAAAGCGAAAAAACCCCGTCCAGACCATCGTTTTGCGATCGCAATTGTGATCACAAAAAGATCGTCGTAATGTGGTTTCGTCGTAATGCGGGGGAATCGTAAAGCAAGGAACCACTGTATTTCTTCATTTATGAGCAATATTGTAAAATCAGACTAAAATTTTGAATGTCTCTTCACTTAACTTGAAACATGTTTTTGTTTTTTAGCCTCTGCTTCTTTTATAAGTCAGTTTTACTGTTATTATTCATAATCTCAGAGCAGTAATACAAAACAGTTACTTCTCTAAGCGATACTCCTAAAGGCCTTAACTTTTACTTAGAGAATTAGCAGACTCTCTGTCTTTGATAGGGTTCGTTTGAAGCAGTTCCTCTTTTTTGGCGGGATATAACCAAGAGGAGTCATTTGAACAATTAACAAATTTATTTGATTTAACATTTGGAGATTCAACAATAACCTCAACAGGGTCAAAACAACTCAAATTTGGTAATTGTTCATAAGGAGTTAACATTTGGAGATTCAACGATAACCTCAACAGGGTCAAAACAACTCAGATTTGGTAATTGTTCATAAGGATACGATAACATTCCCAGAGGGAATTCTGGAGTCTATTGTGGGGCTGGCCTGAACCGTTCTTTGTCTGTAGGCTTCCTCAGGGGAGTGCTCCTCACAGCACAGGTCGTGCCACAGCAAGGATGTTGAGCCCAATCCCCCTCGCACGGTGGTTGATTCTATGTTGCATCGGGTTGGATCACCCTTCTCCAATGACTTTGTCCTCTCGGGAAAACTACCACTGTCCATTCTTGCGTTTTGGTTATTCTCATCTTCTTTTCTTTGGGGTCTGGGCCGGGTAATAATCCCCCCACTTTAAGATTGGGAAAATCCTCCAATAACTCTCATGCTTTTTTATAAGTAAATTCTCCCTTTCTTATCCCTTCCCAGGGCACATAGAACACTCTCCCTTCTTCCCCTTCTTTTATATTCTCCTCCCACACTGAGAAAGTTAACTCCTCCCCTTCCTTTCCCTTCTCTTCTTCCACTAGGCAAACTTCCACCTTTGCTTCTTTCTCCTCTTTTTCATTTACATTCAGTCCTTCTGTTTTTCCCCCCACCTCTTTCTGTGATACTATCACTTGGGGAGACAGCGCACTCTCATGTCTCTTTCTCCTCTCTACTTCTTCTTCACACTGTCCTGTATGCTTAGCTAGAACCAAGAAATTCAGCTACAAGTTCTAATTGTAAAAACATCTGGATATGTTTGTCTCTCACATGAGACAAAGGGGGGGCCTAGACAATGCTGTGTAAAGCATGAATATATAAAATGTGCAAATTTGCCATGTAAAATATTCAGATTAGAAATGTGCATAAATTTACTTCACATAATTCAGTGGCATACTTTTTAGAATTTTGCTAATTTTACGTTTTATTTTCAATAGGTCCGGCACACATATTTTTATTTTTATTTTTATTTTCCACAGAAATGCAGTCCTGAAGAAAGTGCTTCCTTTTACAGCAAGATAACTTATACCTGGTTCAGCAGGTACAAAAGGCTATACATATTGATTTTTAAAATTTCACAGCAGGATTCAATAGACATCAAACTATCAGTGTATAACAAGAATCTTGAAGACAACCATAATGTTGAAAAGTGCATTGTTTTAAAATTGCACATATTGCCACACAAAGGTGAACTGCACACCTTTGGAGGTGGGTACTGTCCTGTAGCTAATGTTGAAGTTAAGATACTGTACAACAGCCAGACTGTTGGCTTCTGTATGTGGAATGGAGAAGGGCCCTATCTTATCCACTTCGAGCAACAAAATGCCCTCCGACAGCCATGGGCTCATATGAAAATTGAAATAATGACTTCACATCTGTATATCATTGCAACCTAGACTTTGCCCATAACATTTACCCTGGGTTGGGTTGTGTTTGTTCTAGTAGAAACATTACACACACCTTTCTGTGCCAACCACATTCAGTCTCTCCAGTCTGACTATAGGAAGAAGTGTAGCTATTATAATCATAGTTTCCTTTGTCATGCCCTCTTGTGTTGGGTACCTTAATCGTTCTTTGATTAGCTATAGTGTATGTTCAGTGTTGAATCTGAAATCAGGTTTTATCAATATTGTCCACAGGGCATGGATCAGCATTTAAATAAATGAATCATACTTGCCTCTTTCCCTCCCATTCTAAATGAATATAATTCATTCTAAAATCAACTTCTTCCTTTTTTTAAACGTATTTCTTTTTTAAAAGTCTCATAGAGGTCAAAAACACGATCTTGTTTAGTTAGTTAGTCATCATTAAGAGTTATGTTAAATATCTATGATTATTACTATGTTTGTTTTGAGTCAAAACCTTACTTTAAAATGGCTGAAAGAAAAGGGTCAAGCCCATAAACAGTACAGTGTAGCTTGGAATATGATATTAAGTTAAGCTGTAATTCTGATTATAATACTCTTTGTTTTTGTATCATTGGAATTAAATGGACTTCTACATGTACAGGGCTAGAAGCTGTTATGAAAAATATCCTGCTAGGCTGTCAGGTGACACAGTCATGGTTTTGTCATCAGCTGACCAACATGTCACCCTTTTTTCATATGCTTCCTCATCTGTGCTTTTCTTTATTTTTAATTATTTCTGTTTTGGCTACTGTTAACTTTTGTTTACCAAAAAGCTAGCATTAGGATATAGGGCCCATCCTAATACAGTATTGATCGTTGTACTCTTTTTTAGGATCATTCCCCCTACCTGTAGATGCTTCCCTCTGATTTTTCTCTTATATTCTGACTGGGGTTAAGACTTGGTAGCTTCATCTCACCTGGTGTAATTCTGTCTATATTCAATCACACATTAACCTCTGCAGAATTCCTTGGAATTCAATCCTGCTGATTTTCATAAGCTGAAACAGAAGACTTTTATTATCCACAACATAGAACGTCTGACCTCTTTTGAAACGTAGAAGCAGGTTTTCTGTAGTTCTTACATGTTTACAAAGCATTCTGTATCACAAGTCCATGTAAGCAAGTGTGTATTCTAGTATTCATGCACAGAAGCCCTCCTTGTAATTACAACTGTGTGAGAAAGAGTGGGAAAAGGTATGCCAGCTTCACCTCCATCATTGCTGTGCTCCTTTGTGAGCTGGAACACAAATATCTGCAGCAGATTCTAAACCATGCAGGTGACTGCATCTTCCTTGCTATTCACCAGAGTTTGGAAATATGGCCTCTTCTTCTTCTTTTGGATCACTGCTCCCTCCACCCCACTGGATGTGATAACTAGGGAATTGTGAGAAATATAATCCAAAAAAGTAACTTTTCGGAGGTGTGACAGAGACATTCAGCTTTCAGATTATGGAGGCTGGCAGTGACAAATAGAATGAATCCAGCATGCTTCTCCTCTCAGTTGCTGTATGATTCTAATCCTATGGGTGATTAAAAAGCCTGGGAAAAGCTAGAGATAGCCAGATGAGGATAGACTAGGAAACCTATACATAAGTGTGATTATGGATATTAATATGTGGAGCTTGCTTTTAACAGCAAATTATGGATACTGCACATTCAGAAATTTTATTGCTGTTTCCCTACACAGTATTTTCCAGGCAAGATTATGTTTTAGTTGATGAGAGGGAAAAAAAGTAGAAAAATAGTTCTTGCTTCTTTACTGCATGTTCTTTTCAATTTATTTCTTGATTTAGTATCTGTTCACAAGATAGCTGTGTGGAGTTGAGTAACCAGTTGTGTTTGTTTTGCTGATTATGGAAGTATAATATAGGAAGCTGATTTTCTCTTCCAGTTACAGTACTTTGCTTTGCTGATCTCACAAGCATTAGTTTCATAACAGAAGTAGCATGGAACACTCACATACACACAAGTGAATTTATGCTTTCTAATTTTAGAACTAAATCTACTTTCTCAGTACAGTACAGTTCTTCTCCAGTGAATTCATTTGTGCTCTGGTTTTCCCTATCATTTATGCTGGACTTGTTTTCTCCTTTTTATTATTTTGTAATTAATGCATTATTATTTTTAACAGAGTTATAACTTTAGGCTATAAGAAGCCACTAGAAAGGGATGACCTTTTTGAACTCAATGAGGGAGATTCTGCCTATGTGGTATGTCCAGATTTTGAAAAGCAGTGGAGGAAAGAACTTCTTAAGTCAATCAAGGAGAAAAAGGTAATTCTAATGAAAAAAAATAAATACAGCTGTCTATAGGAAACTAACTACTACCAGATTTCTAAACTTGACCTTTGAAATCTGGTCTTGCTTTTAAGCTTTTAAGGAATTCTTATGTAACTACAGTGCTTGCTCTCCTTTTATAATTTGTTTCTTCCTGATTCATTGCAATGTTTCTATGGTGTTTCCTGAAGAGATTTCCTTACCTAAAAATCTCATCTACTTTCTAGGTGACTGTTCAGCAACTAGCCTTGGAATGGGAGGTTAACATCCTAATTTGATAGGGATTTCTCTTCTCACTTGAACAAAGAATGTTTCAGGGTTTGTTTGTTTTTGTCTAATATGTCCCCTGGCCCAAGACCACATTCATGGCAATGTGCCACCCTTTTATATTGCCTATCTAGCCCAACCTCATGACTACACCATAAACACTGCCCATATGGTAGTTCTGTAGGTCAGCTAACATTCACATGCAAGGTAGACCATGTAGCTACTTTCTTTCCTTCTGCATTGACCTTCAGTTTGTTTGTCTTCATCCAGTCCATTATTAACTCCAGACACTGGTTTAGAACAAAGACAACTACCAATTCAATGAAGAGGAGAAATAGATTTAAGTCTCTTCATCACACTGGTGGTAGTGAAACTGCAAACTCTCTAAGTTCCTTTCTATATCCATGTAGGGGGAATGGCCTCATTCACCACCTTGTTGGTCCAAATGGAGAAATCTCTGAATAGGAAAATGACAAATGAACACAAACTGAGCATGGTACATTGGCCCCTACAATTAATCCTTGAAATTGATTGTGTATTCAGATTTGGCCAACACACTTTATATATTGAGAATGTATTTTAGTATATGTATGTTATGTTTAGTGCAACACAGTGGGTCAATGGTCTGCATTGTGGTGATTTTATTAAAAAAAATAAAAAAATCCTCGATGTGTGATATTTACCGTATTTTTCGCACCATAAGACGCACTTTTCCCCCACAAAACAGAGGGGTGGAAAGTCTGTGCGTCTTATGGAGCAAAGAAAACAGATTATATTTTCCTGTTTTCTTCTCCTAAAAAATTGGTGCGTCTTATGGAAAGGTGCGTCTTATGGAGCGAAAAATACGGGTAATCAATTTGCCAGGAATGAATAATTTGTGTTCCTTTTGAAGCTTAATGCTTGGCTCTGCTCAGAAGGCCATCGTAAGGTATCACATATGTGTGATTTAGGCTGATGCTCTTTTATTACAGGCAATCAGTATTTAATATTTTTAGAATTGTTTATATCCGTCTAACTCACAGGCTCCTGCTTATGAAGATGTCACAAAGAGACCAATTTGTAAAAGGCCATCTCTCCTTTCACCACTGTGGCAGACATTTAAGTTTTCATTGATCAAGGTTGCTCTTTTGAAAGTTGCAGCTGACATTTTGGCTTTTACAAGTCCACAGGTCATGAAGTAAGTTAGCCAGTGTACCTTACATGCATAATTATATCAGGCTAACAGATTTCAATACTTTGGACACCTGCAGAAGAGCTTTTCCACAGTTAATTAATTTAATAAATATGTCTCTGCACTGCATAATGTACAGTATGTGCTCTCTAATAGAGAAATTGATACAAATTATGTGCAGTTGGTAATTTCATAAACAACTGATGATTTAGAAAAAAGCAAAGTAGTAAAGGGTGTAGGGGGAAAACCTTAAAGAGTAATTATTTGAAAGATATTTTAGTTTCATGAGTTACTGCTGTTGTTCAGGGAAGTGCACATAGATTTTTTGATACCACTTTAGTTATTACAGCTCCATCCTGTAAAACCATGGGATATTTAGTTTGGTGAGATGCTTGAAATCTTTTCCACAGGATTCTAGGGGACTCCCTGGGTACTTTACCAAAGGGTAGAGTCATGACAGTTACGAAAGGGTAGAGTTATGCAGTATTAACTCCAATAACCACGTTATAGATACATGCATAGCCTCAGACATCCGAGATACAGCTGGTTGCCTGTTCCTGATCTAAGCATATTTTTAAAGTGCTACCTGGAAATACATTCTAGATTAGAAAGAGTTAACCTACCTTGTTTCTCGATGTGTGCAAGAAGTAAAAATGAGTTTTACTGGTTGTTTGGTCAAGTACCGTATTTTTTGCTCCATAAGACGCACTCCCCCCCCAAAAAAGTGGGGGGAAGTCTGTGTGTCTTATGGAGCGAAGGCCACGATTTTGCCCCCACTGGCCCTGTGGGGGGGGAGCGTCGCAAGGGTCCGAGTGAGCCTTCCAGAACCCTTGCAACACTCCCCCCCACCCCCCAGTGTCTGGAGTGTGGGCGAAATCGCCACCTCCTGGGAGTCTTTTGAGGCTTGGGAAGCTTCAGAAGAGTCCCAGAAGGTGGCGATTTCACCCCCTCTGACCCCCGGGGGGCAGGGTGAGTCTCTAAAGGGTCCTAGGGGGTGTTCCATAAGATGGACCTCTCCATAAGGCTCACCAATTTTTAGAAGAAGAAAACATAACTTTTTCCTGTTTTCTTCTCCTAAAAATTAGGTGCGTCTTATGGAGAGGTGTGTCTTATGGAGTGAAAAATACGGTAGGTTGAATAAAAATGCATTTGCTTTATTTCCTGAGGAGTAATATAGGCATAAAATTGTTTTTCCTTGCAGAGAAATGATTCTACAGTATGAGCATCACTCTGTTTCATATTGGAATGGTTATGGATATGCCGTTGCTCTGCTCTTTGTTGTAGTTCTGCAGACCCTCCTACATCAGGTTTATCAGCGTCTGAACATTCTTACTGCTGTAAAAATTAAGACTGCCATTGTTGGCCTCGTATACAAAAAAGTATGTGCAGCATAATTGCAGTTGTGCATCATAATTGCAGGACCAACTGTAAAATGTGTTACAAAAATTTTGATTGTCTTCTCTGTGTCCTCTTCGATTGTAGGCCTTAAATTTATCCAATTTTTCACGACAAAAATACACAACTGGCGAAATTGTTAACTTAATGTCTACAGATATCCAGCAACTTATGGAAGTGGCCATCAACCTCAACCTCTTATGGTCAGCCCCTTTTCAGATCCTACTTACCATCATCTTCCTTTGGCAAGAACTCGGCACCTCAGTTTTGGCAGGCATTGGTGTGCTCCTTTTGGTCTTACCTATAAATACTTTTTTTGCTGCCAAACTGAAGCAACTCAGGGTGAGGAATTTTAACTAAAGTGTTATTCCAAGTTGTCATTTTAAAGGGAGGCATGCTTTTCAGTTTGAACAGGGTGTATATTGAGCTAGGCAAGCAAAATTCAAATTGTGCCACAGGTTGTGCCACTATTGTCCACTAGATAGATTTCCTTTGTGCCCATGAAAAAGCCTATTCTAAGGGTTTAGGGAATTTAACATGGGGAATTGCAACAGGAGTTCAGAATCTGAAAAAATTGAGCATAAGAGAACATCTAATAAGAGAACATAGCTGAATGATTTATATGTTCGGTAATGAGCTCAATCCAATGTTTAGTGCCTATTACAGTAGACCATGTGGCCCTTGCCATTCCTGCCCAGGGACAGGATGACCAGGCAAGTCTCCTTAACCATAGTCTTCATATAATCATTTTTACCTAGACATTATTGTTTGTATTCTTGTCAGCTTTGTTAGTTATAGGATATGCTGCATGTGTAGATTATGCTGATTAAAAATGCAACCTTTACGCTTTCAATCAGAAAAGTCAAATGAAGAATAGCGATCTACAAGTTAAACTCCTAAGTGACGTCTTGCATGGAATAAAGGTAAGACATGTTGATTGTGAATCTGGGTCATTGTTTATTGAGAACCTCTGTGTTGCTGAACAACTCATCTCAGAGAATTCACACCACTGTGGAAGAGGTTTTGGGGGGGATACTGTACATGGGTAGCTCCAGGACAGAAAATGGGATGACCAGGTCTTCCTGGTTTGATTATGAAAGGAGGTCAAGCAATACAACCACACCTTTGGGTTCTGGACAAAAGATATCTGACTAAAAAAAACTAAGTTATTGATATTCCAATCTTCTTTTTCTCTACACTTAATCCTTATCCATCTGTTATGTAATACACACGTCAACCAATAGAGCTTTAACAGCCCTTAGTTAAACAGATCCTTTTTTTTCTCACTGAAAAAAAATCTGTTTCCAAGAATCTAGTAGAAAATACCTTGAAATGCTGCTACATACTTCTAAAATATTGCTGTTGTGGGGCAATATTCTCCCAGTTGTTTGCTGTGTATTATTTTAATTGTTTGGATTTAAATCACTTTGAAAATACTGTGGCAGAAAGCAAGGCAACGTGCCCAATATACAAATAATACTTCTAAGATAGCTATCGTGGTGGTGCTGCGTTTTAAACTGCAGAAGCCTCTGTACTGCAAGGTTCGACAACCAGCAGTCGTGAGATCGAATCCACATGACAGAGTGAGCTCCCATCGCTTGTCCCAGCTCCTGCCAACCTAGCAGTTCGAAAGCATGCAAATGTGAGTAAATAGGTACCACCATGGTGGAAAGGTTCCATGTCTAGTCGTGCTGGCCACGTGACCACGGAAACTGTCTACAGACAAATGCTGGCTCTGTGGCTTGGAAACGGGGATGAACATCACTCTCTAGAATTGGACTCAACTGGACTAAATGTCAAGGGGAACCTTTACCTTTATCTTATCCTCTTGAAGTAGGCAATTAACAAAAGTCTCGACAATGCTAAGACATGTCCCTTTGTAATCATGGTGGGAAAAGTCTTTGGGAAAAATTGTAGAAGCAGAATGCATCACCTGGGGGGGGCAAGGATAAAAAGAGAAATGATTTGGTGGGCATTCACATACATATAAAATCATTTATAAAAATGATTTGTATATTTTTGAAATGTAATTCATAATTTTGCATTTTCTTCACTTTATTTCAGTTTGTTTCAGATCTTCTATTATTTGTATAGTATGTTCATTTGAAAATATGAATGTGAGTCAGAACTAGAGATGGGGGTATATGAATACGAATATCCCTGCACAGGTGGAAATAATGGAATTACTGTCCACTCACAATTTTGCCGCTGCCACTGGCTCCGCTGTGCCTTCCTACCACGCTGTTGTCCACAATTGATTACACAGTCCTGGCAGGAAGCAGGATGACAAGCCTCACTGCTAGGTTGTAGAGTGGCTAATCCATTGTGGAGAACGGCGTGATAGTTAGGCTCTGCAGAGTCGACAGCAGCGGTGAAATCGTGAGTGGACCCCCATTATTTCCACTTGTATGGGGATATTCATATTCGTGTCCAAATACCCCCTCCTCTAGTCAAAACCATGCTTTTCCAACCTCCCATCTCATACGCAGGGCCCGCATAAAGAGTTGGAGACTCTGTTTTACGACTCGTGTGTAGGGGACAGTGAAAATTATGATGGTGGGGCTGGGCTACAGCCCTCTTCTTTAGGGATGAGCTTTCTACACCAAGAATGATGATTTACCAGAGGTTTTAACTGATTTGAGATTGGATCATGCATTTCCCTATTTGTGAACTGATATCTGCAGTTATGCCATTGCTCTCTTTTTCACTGTCAAAGAGCATGGACCTTCTTAGGACACTACATCAAATTAACTCCAGGATGACTCCCATATAATTCATTCGAAGTTTAGACTGGGCATGGCAGTTATTAGCCTTAATATGTACAGTTAAAACATTTTCCTTTTATTATTTCACTTCTACTTTTTGCCTCCCCTTCACTCCCACTTTCTTCTCTTGCTTTCCTTTATATTGAATTTTTCATTTGTCATGTATACTGTGTGGTGCCACACACACCTTGAGACTGTTACTGAGGTCATTCATTCCCAAACTTGGTCTCCGTATCTTTTTGTACTACAACTCCCAGAAATCCAGGCCAGTACAGCTAGTGGTGAAAGCTTCTGGGAGTCTTAATACAAGAAGACCTGTAGGCCCAAGGTTGGGAACCACTGATCTAGATAAATAAATAAGCAGAGGCTCTTCCACAGTTGACATAGGACAATGACATGCTAGTGAGAAGTTAATTGCTAGTTTTGTAGGACTGTTGGTGCTCGGAAAGGATGGCGTTTGTGGCCAGAATTCTACTGAGGAAAAATGTAGCGGAAGGACAGTTCTGCAAGTAGTTCCCTCTTTCAATGAGCTGTTGTTCACACAACCAGTCATATAGTGTTGCAAAACAGACCAACTTGGCCAGTCACACCACTGTTTACACAAAGGACTGCCCACTGGGAGCCTTGTGTGGCTGCCTTTGTGCACAGTTTTTCCTAAAAGGATTCTTACCGGTATGTTATACAAAGGAGCCTGACTGAGGTAAATTGTCTGACACTTGATAGATTGCAAGAAAGTTCTGCTTGGTTCTTCTCAGGAGCTGCTAGGCAACCTGTTTATGTATGGTGACCAGGTCAGGGCCAGCCCTACCGTTAGGCAAAGTAGGGCAAATACTTTGACAAGAAAATTGCAGGGACAGAAGAGTGAGGTGCTGGAAGTCAAAATTATGTATGTCACATGGCATGTCCTGGACTTCCAAGCTAGCCTGCCACTTTCATGTAAAATGCAAGGTGGTTTTCTGTCATCGGTGTTGATGCTACCGACAATCTGAGGGAGTGTGTGTGCAACTGGGGGGGGGGACGGGCGCGTGGGAGGAGATTTAATGCTCTGTTTGCAGCCCAGGCTTAGGTAGAGAGCAGATTTATAGCCTATTGCTTGTTCTTTAAAATGTTGGAGGCAAAGGCTTACATGCAATGCTAATTTGAATTCACATAGACCCATTGAATCAATGAAATGTGCACAAGTGTTAACTTACCAATTTCCTGTTCATTCAGTGGGTCTGTTGTACTTGTGAATAAATGATGGGTTTAGACCAAATTTGTAATTAAGAAATGCTGCTGTTGTAGCAAAATGCAACTCTTTCCATAGATTCTCAAGCTGTATGCATGGGAGCCTTCATACCAGAAAAAGATTCTGGCAATTCGAGAACGGGAAATTGATGTTTTGAAATCCACTGGATATCTGACAACATTCTCCATGCTGACATTGACTTGTATTCCTTTCCTGGTATGTTCCAATGAATGGCATATTCAGTTTAATTGGGTGATTGTATATTGTGCATCCCAGAGTGTATCAGATAACTCAATAGGCAAAGAACCATGTTGCCAATACAGTGGTGCCTTGCTTAACGACGTTAATTCATCTAGAGCGAAAACGTCGTAAAGTGAAATTAAAAAGCCCATTGAAATGCATTGAAAACCATTCAATGCGTTCCAATGGGCTGAAAACTCACTGTCCAGCGAAGATCCTCCATAGGGGCGGCCATTTTCAGGTGCCTGTAAAGCAAAAAATGGCTCTTAAACACAGCGGGGAGCCATTTTGTACACCCAGCGGCCATTTTGAAACCCGACGATCAGCTGCTTTTGATTGTTGTAAAGCAAAAATCAGTTCCCGAAGCAGGGAACTGATCATCGCAAAGCGGATTTTCCCCATTCAAACCATCATTTTGCGATCGCAAAAGCGATCGCAAAAACATTGTCGTGAAGCGGATTCGTCATTAAACGGGGTAATCGTAAAGCAGGGCACGACTGTATGTGGAATTTAGTGTACCAGTCTAAAGATTTATCCCCATATACCTTCTTGGAACAGCAGAATGTAAGGAGATATTTCTAGATTAGTGTTGATAACAAATGAACCAATTTCTTTAGAATATGTTTCTCATTATACTATAGGATCTTATTTTTATGCTGAGATTTTAAGTTGATACTGTAAGTTGATACCTTTTCAAGCGGGATGTGCTGGAGAAAAGAAGTTAAGTTTTCAGGCAGTAAGACCCTCCTGCTTCCCCCTAGACTGCGTAGCCCTTTGCAGCTTCAGAAAATACGCTGTTGAGAGTTGTTGGTGTAACATACAGTTGACAGGGAAGTTGCTGGAACTCCCCCAATACTATACAAAGGAAGGAACAACATGTAATGCAACCCAGTGTGTCTAAAGTAAGCATGGCTGTAATTTGTGGATTGTAATGCCAGCTGTAATTATCCTAGTGTATTTATAAGGATGGATTATTTTGTTTAGTTTATGAGTTCACATTTCATCTTGCATCTTGATCCTGTAAACTGGCCTGAAGACCAAAATGTTAAACTGACATTTTTGAGTAAGCTGTATTTAAGAAATGGCACTTGTTACAATTAAAACAAATTTTAGCATTAAACTGAAGCAAATTTAGTACAGTTTAAAAAAGGTTTCTAAGGAAAAGAGAACCAGGGGGAAGAAAACTAGCATTTCTTTCTCTTAACAGGTTTCTTTGGCTACTTTTGGAGTCTTTTTTCTCTTGGGTGAAGAAAATGTTTTGACTGCAGCTAAAGTTTTTACCTCAATCTCCCTCTTTAACATTTTACGACTACCTTTGTTTGATTTGCCTACAGTGATATCTGCAGTAGCTCAGGTAAATATGCATTCCATAAGGTGTTAGGGAGGAAATGTTACAGGTATAACTTAATCTTTAATAGTGTGCATATTTTCACATCTCAGCTTGTTCCATATTGATCAGATTGATCCATGTTAACTGCTGTCTGAAATTAGGGCTCTGTCCATGAGGATTTTTCTAAAGTGACTGGGTGGCTATTTAACATTGTTACAAAATCATCTTTGCATGGCTTTGAAATGTTGGATGCATTTTAAAAATATTGACTGTGCATTGGTTATTGTTTTTGTCATAAACCAAGTAGGCTATCTTGAAAACACAGGACAACAAGATGTGGTGACAAAATACTGGTTAGCTTTTACAGTACAGTATTGTACTATCATACTGAAAACTAAATACAGTAGGACCCCTGTATCTGTGGTTTCACTTATCCACAGTTTTAAAATATTAAAAATCCCCAGTGGTTATGGGGGTCTTCCTATATTTGTATGTAAAAGGGGTAAAAGGGGATACTTCCAGACAGTGACAAGTATCTATGTTCTTTTCAGACTCCATGTCTTTAATTGTGATAAGTATAGTCTTGCTTCCCCTGGTTTTGGGAGTGATAACTAGCCTTTGGAAGAAGCATCTGAAAAGAAGGTTAAATATCTAAATAAAATTAGCATGTACCCCTGCTTTTAGGCGAAGGTTTCTCTAAGCCGTTTGGAGGATTTTCTGTCTTCTGAAGATCTTGACCCTCAAAATATTAATGCAGACTATAGTGGAGGTAAGCTTATCAAAATAAATTAATTGCACATATAACAGTTTGGAATTTGGGTTGAATAGCTTACTTCTGTTAACCTTGAATGTTTTGTTTCTGGATCTTAACATCATGCAGTTAGATTTGTTAATGCCTCTTTCCGCTGGGAGAAGATTGGAGCTCCGACTTTAAATAAGTAAGAAAATAATTATATTTACGGTCAAATGTGCAGGTACCATTTCTATGTGCTGAGAACAATGTTCTTGATGCCAGATTGATAGCTTACATGAAAAGCAGTTTTCACACACATGATGAAGAATCCATGGGGGGGGGGGAATGGAGGTTGTTGATTGGATAGTAATGTTCCCAAGCTCCACTTCAAAGGGGCAGTTTTTTAATGGATCAGGTAAAGACAGATCCTGCTGGGAGCTTTGCCTCTCCCAGATCTTGGAAAGTTATTTTTAACAACAACAAAAACCTTTGAACTGCCAAGCTGGAAAAGACCCTACAGATCATCAAGTCCAGTTCTTCTCAAGGAGGCACAGTGTTTTCATGTTAATTCACGTGCATTACTTGTTACAGAGTTTGAAAAGTGATCTCTGGCTATTACTCTGTATAATGTTCTTCTGGTAGTAAACGTTTAATTACTTTGCAGTTAATGTGTTTATTTCAATGCAGAAAAATAATCTTTGGCATTATCAAAGTCTATCAAAATGTAACTAGAAACTGTTGATCATTACAATAATAAAGTAGCCATTACATTTCATGTTACTTTCAAAATGCAACTTGAGAACATTCTTCTGATCTGCAGAAATAAATGATTACTGGAGTGAATTACTTGTGACTCATTACAGTACTTCTCAGTGTTGGCCTCTTCCATGATGCTTGCAGGACAAAGCATTGGGAGAATGGGAGACAGTGGTCTTGGCCCTGCTTTCTCCCTATAACTTATGTTCCTGTATTGTAGAAATGGGACATTATTTGTGCCATAGTGCTGTATTTGTTGAATAAAGCAAGCTAAGTTTGAGAAAAGCAGCTGCTGCACTACCATTCTGCTGAAGGACCACCAGGATCTGAATTAAGTCCTCCTTCCCAGCTCTTACCTCCATCAGTAGTTTCTTTCAGGTATCTACTGTGTATTATGGCATGCACTCATAGGGTGACTTCATCATCTGTGTGGACACCTGTTTTTGGAGGTCTACAGACACAGAAAAACAGTCCCCCGTCAAATTGCATGTTAATGTCTGGGGAGAACGTGTGGGACCCTGAAGAGTGTAAAAAAAAATAAGTTGAGGGCTGCATTTTGTCCACCAGGATTTTATAGTGGGTGGAACCCTTTTTCTATCCCTTTGTACCTCAGCAGGAAGTGCCACACATGATGTTATGAGTAACTGAGGAATGCTTAGAACTACTGCTAGAGGGATGTTTTTTTTGTGCATGTTTGCAAAGGAAATATATTTGATAGTGGGTTTCCTAAAATCTTTCTAGACTGAGCCTAAAGATTCCAGAAGGTTCATTGGTGGCAGTTGTGGGTCAAGTTGGATCAGGCAAATCTTCTCTCCTTTCTGCCATTCTTGGAGAAATGGAAAAAACAGAAGGATCTGCTCAGAGAAAAGTAAAGTAGATTTCCTCTGGTTTCACATTATTTTCATTTTTACAGCTATTTGCTGAAATTGAGTGTTTTCTAAATTTTTTGAGCCTTTGAAAAGCTCCACTATTTTCCATATTACTTAGTTGAGTTCAGACCCCTATTCCTGAAACTGTTGTTCCTTTTTAAAATTAATATGTGCTTGATCCAGACCTGCTGAGGGCTTGGTACCTCCAGGAAGAAGGGTCTCTTTAGAGTTGGATAGGAGGCTCAAAGGAGCAAGGCAAAACACCAGTGTGTCTGTGGGATACAGGTGCAGCTCCATTGTGTGGTGAAGCGCTAAACTACAAGTGATGAAGGTGAAGTTCCTTTTAAGCCTTGGACTGACTCTGGCTATTCAGATGGGCCATTGGAGCTTTCTGGGCAAAAAGAAATATTAAGGTCTTTCAGTTACAGCTGAATCTTGCTTGAGCAATATAGCATGCTGGAGTGCCCTTTGTTTGCCCCTGAGTTTCTGCTTTCCAGCTCTTAGCTCCGCTTGGCATGCTGCTTGTCTTGACCTAGTTGCTAGGAATGAGCAGAACCTAGGAAAGCTATTTTGGGGGACTACCAGAATCCTCTAAATGGTGTGGAACTGTGGGAACTGTAGTCCAAAAATGCTGTGTTTCCAGCATCTGAGGATGATGACGCCACAGAGGGCCTTCCTATGGAAGTTCTGCCTACCTTTGCACTTTCACTGAAGCATGGGATGTTCTTTCATCCAACACAGGATCTTAGAATACAGTCCCCAAAGCAAAAACAGGATTCTGTTTGGACATGTTTTGTTCAGGTGCCAAGCCTACCGGTGCAATGAATTGGATTCTAAATGTTCACTTTTGACATCAATTAGTACTGTAGTTAACCCACCCTTCCATAAATCTCATCATGCTCAGAACTATGTATGCTTCAGTGTGTTTCCTTTCCCCCTTCGTTCAGGGTACAGTGGCTTACGTTTCCCAGCAAGCCTGGATACAGAATGCCACTTTGCAGGAAAATATTCTTTTTGGCTCTGATATGCACCAGCAATATTACAAAAGAGTTTTGGAGGCCTGCGCTTTATTGCCCGACTTGGAACAATTGCCCGTTGGAGATCAAACAGAAATTGGGGAAAGGGTAAGTGAAAATGCCTAGTTATACAGAACAAGGCAAGGTGTTTCTTTTGGGTATTATTTACTGCTGAGATGAAACTACAAACAATAAGCATTTATTGCACAAACAGCCACAGGCCTTTCTCCAGCTTCTTCAGTTTAAGGTAACAAGGCTAGGAAAGCCGTAAAGAATTGCTGCCCATCAGAACAGACAAAATTATCCATGGCTTGATGGCATCACAGCTTTACATAACAAAGGGATTGTTTTTTTTTAATTTTTGAGCCTGAAAAGTCAAAATCACATTTTACATGTGCCACAGACAGAATCCAAAAACAAACCAAAAGATTTATCTAATATTGCATACAGAAAATGGACTTGGTAGTGACTTACATGACCGGCTGTTTTAGAATGACTAGCGCATGATGAAGATACACAAGCGATCGCTCCACTATGATGAAATGCCACCTTCATTGCTCTCAAGATTCTGTATGTCTATAAGAATGCATGCTTCATCACAGAGCCTGTAGACTGGCAGATAGAATATCAAACACCCCAAAACATAAAGGAAAGAAAGGCCATGTCGCACACCCCCAGTGTCCCCTGTTTGTTTTCCCACTCTCACAGGTTCACCTTTGGACACTTGTTCTTTTCACCCTTTTACGCTGCCACCAGAGGATATTATCCTCACTGTACCAATTATGAAAATCACACTATTGCTGCCAAATATAACAAGGTGTCTTTATGGTTTGATGGGTAAATCACAGAATTAAAATCATTGATGTTCTTTTATTATTCATTCAATAAACATGGATTTGTTTACATACACACTTGCTGGTATTCATTCACTTTAATCAAGGTCTCAATATTCTGACAGTCTATGTATTTCTTATAACTTGTAACTCTCTTATATTCTCTCTAACACACCAACTTTCCAATCTCTTCTCTAAACACTTCACAGTTTTTTGTAAAGTGAGACTGAAAAAGGAAAGTAGAGAGAGATGTAATAATTGAATGATCTTCCAGGATATAAACCAGCCAGTTGGTTAATTTCTAATTATAGAAAGCTCAATAAAAGTAGGGCCTGGCGTGCTCTGATCCATGGGGTCACGAAGAGTCGGACACAACTTAACGTCTAAACAACAACAATAAAAGTTACACAATAGAAAAACACAATTTGTTGTTTTGGGATCTTTTGAGCCACAAAGGTGTAATCTGTTCATCTTTGGTATCTCCTTAAAGCTCCTATCACTTTGTAACAATCATAATGTTGTAGCCTTCAAGGATAAGACCCAGTATTATCTGTTTCATATAATCAATATTGGTGTCTGGTGTCCTTCATTAAGGATATTGAAAATGATTTTGAGATGAAAGTGTTTGCCTGTCAGAATGACACCAAAAAAGTCTTGTGGCACCTTAGAGACAAACAAATCTCTTTCAAAGATGCTTTTGTAGATTGTTGTCTGCTTCTTCAGAGGGATGTGGTATTTCCGAGGCAGACAATCATACATAAATGCTTGTATAAATGTCTGTTTACTGAGGCTCTACTCCAGGCATCTGAAGTAGTGAATTTCAGTCCATGGAAGCTTGTGCCATACAAACTTAGTAGTCTTTAAGGTTCCACAAGACTCTTTGCTGATTTTGAAATGAGAAATAGGCAGCCATTTTAATTTTTCAAATATATTTGTTACTAAAAACAACCTGTTTTGGAAGCATCATGTTGGTCTTTTCCCCCCCTTCGGTTTAGGGTGTGAATATAAGTGGGGGTCAGAAGCAGAGAGTAAGCCTGGCGAGAGCTGTGTACAGCAATGCGGATCTCTACTTACTAGATGATCCCCTGTCTGCTGTAGATGTCCATGTTGGGAAGCATCTGTTTGAAAAGGTGATCGGGTCCTCTGGCTTGCTGAGAAACAAGGTAGGCGAGAAGGTTTCTTTCGGAGTAGAGTTCATGTGGCGTTCTTCTTTTCTAGCATAAAATGTTAAATGAGTTATTTTTCCTCCTAGACTCGTATTTTAGTGACAAACAACCTGATGCTCCTGCCACAAGCAGACCTTCTAGTTATGATGGAAGATGGGAGAATTACTGAAATGGGGAGTTACAAAGAGCTACTCTCAAAAAGAGTGAACTTTGCTGAGCTTGTTCTAAACGTTGGTGTAGGAAAAGAAAACAAAGAGACCACTTTGACATCAAGTGAGCAAATAAAGTTCATTGATGCTAACTTTTCTAAATTTGTGAGATTTGAACCCTTCACCTGAATGGGATGATGCCAGTGCTTAAGTGGCAGTGAGGTGGTGCCTACCTGACCCCAGATATACCTGCTATGCCCCTGGGCACCAGAGATTTCTTACATGACATTTAGGATTCCTATAATACCTCTTTGATTTTGGGGAGCAAGTGTCACGTGTTCCATATTCCATGCATGGTGGCATCCCTTACGTTTTAATGCCATTGTAATTCCAAGGAATTCAGGGCATGGAATGCTTCCTCCCTTTTGTTGTGATAAAAAAAAACTGAGTGAGTTTAGATTGAAAATGTATGCATCTCTGGATCCAGCCCAGTACACTTTAACTTTTTAAATGGGCAATGAACATCACTTTTCTACAACTATTTTGTTTTTCCTATAGAAGACTATCCTAAAGGTGATATTAAAACACAAGACCACCTTGTACCAAAGAAAACCCAACCTCTAGAGCATAAACATGGGTGAGTACTTAAAAATAAGTGAAAAAATAGAATCAATTAGTATGAAATAAAATGGTAAGGCAAAGGAGAATAGTAATATATAGGCAGCGTGCTTCTGCTGGAGCCTTCCGAAGGGGAATGAAACAAAGCCTAGGGAAAACAAAGTTGTCAAACTGGTTTTGCTTATTAATTAAGTCCCCAAGAATTGTATTCGCGAAGGTTTTCACGGCCGGGATCTAATGGTTGTTGTGAGTTTTTTGGGCTCTTTGGCCGTGTTCTGAAGGCTGTTCTTCCTAACGTTTTGCCAGTCTCTGTGGCCGGCATCTTCAGAAGACAGCACTCTGTGCTCTGGTGTAGTTGGCTTGGGAGTGGAGTATTTATGGCTGTGAGATGGGCTTTTGTCCACCTTTGAGATGCTCCCTTCCGTCCCCCGCCAGTCTGGATGGGAGAGAAAATAAGTCTGTTTTAAAGTGTAACAATGTAACAAAGTGCTTCCTAAAATAAGTCTGTTTTAAAGTGTAACAATTAGATAGTTTACAAAAGGCACTCTCTTGCTTCCTTGCCACAGTGAGACAATGATCAAAATGAGCCCAGTGCTCCAGATGAGTGGGGATCATTGATGTGCTAAATAAAATTGCTTCCCCTGCTAGCTCAAGTCCTTTGCCTACATTTGGATTTGTGGTGCACCCCTTTTCAGTGTGGATATATTACAGCAGCAAAGGGCTGGGTCTTAATGTTTGTAGGTGGAATGGAATTTTGTTCTGCCTGTCTTCCCAGTGCAGCCTTTTGTGCTGATGAAAAAGCAGCTGCTTAAAGGTGGGTGACCCTCATGGAATGGAGGTGGTGGTGCAAGAGGAAGGAGGAACTGGTGAAATTGCTTCCCCTATGCAAGTAGCAGTGTTTTCCCTGTTTGTTTCAGACTGTTGTGTTGATGTAAAATACCCTTCTTTGTTATGCATGTAAGGCTAGTGTGGATTATCTTCCCCAACCCTCTAGTCATATACAATATCTAGCATGGAGCGTGGGTACAGTGACATGCTTGCGCTTTGCTCCCTTTGCAGTAGGAGTGGGTTCTGCCTGCTCTGTGGTCTTGCTGGTGGCTTTATAATACACAGCTTATGTAGATGAATTCTTCACTTATATGTACTTCAATGTGAAATAACGTTTTTGTCGTTCTTCTTTTTCCAAAGGACCATGTTCTCAACAAAGAGGGAAAAAATTGCTACCGGTACTGTAAGTCCTTTTTAAAATAGTTATTGATATATTTCTAGAATATGATGGTCAGCTGCTTTTTCATCCTGATGCACTAAGCCAGATTTCTGCATTTCATGCGAAGAAGTGTATGTAACTTACAGAACAGACCAGAGCAGAATTTGGAAAAATTATTTCTTTGGATGGTAACTTACAGAGGGTCTTCTAGGTTTCGATCTCAAATATGGTGCAAGAGTCAAATGATGTATGAGCTGTCATTTTTTAATCCCTGCTAGCTTGTGGCACCCATATCAGCAAGAAGTGGATTGAGATTCCTGAGAACATACCCAATGGGCTTTTATTTTGAATACATTGAAAGGGAAACATTTCCACCTTCTTCAGACCCTTCCCAGATAGTAGATCTAGACAGTAGGATGGCACTTCTAATTCTTCCTTCTTTCTAGGAGTGGTCTGCCTGTGTATACGTTACTAATTCCTTCATTCTGTCTCTTATACTTAGATGAAAATGTCAATTATTTTGAAATACTTGCAAGCCTTTGGCTGGTCATGGATGTGGCTAACTATAGCAGCCCACCTGGGTCAAAATGCTATAGCCATTGGACAAAATCTATGGCTCAGCAAATGGACAACTGAGGCAAAACAAATTAATGACTTTGCAGAATGGAAAACTCTAAGAAACCACAAGCTTGCTGTCTATGGGATCTTGGGATTTGTGCAGGGTAAGCTTATACTTGTAAGTTTTCTTTTCAGAGTTTTGCTGGTTTGACTTCAGTGATCTCACACAGTTTGTAATAAGTTTGCCTATAATAATTGGTCTTAAAATAAGAACAAGAAAAATTGCATCACTGCCAATATTTAGAGTCAAATCATGTTACGGAAGTTGCATATGTGGAAGAGTGATGTGACAGATAGGAAGAGAAATTTGATAATTAAGAAGTTCCTACTTCTGTCCTGCAGCTTATCCACATCTAATCTAATCATTCACATTGTGCATGAGCTTGTAGGAGGCTCAGGATGGAAGGAGGCACTCTTTCATTGTAGAGAATCTTTTTGCCAGCACCATCATCAGGCGAAGATTATTTAGGGCAATCAAAGAGTTGCTCCTTCTGTTTCCAGTGCTCCCACAGGTTACATACAAGGAGACTGATTACACATGAATTGAACAAGCCACAGGACAACAATAGGAACTCTTTGATTACAAAAAAAGTATTTTCCACAGGTGTAATTTATCAAACAAGATTTGGGATGTGAAATTATAATGGCAGACTAGGTGTCAGTTCACACAAGTACTGTGCAGAGGAGGGTGCACATGACAGATGAGTTCTCTGAATTGTACATCAGGATCACAGGCTGTGGTTTAGTGCAAAGGTGGTCCAGTTTGGAGAAGGGCACATAGCCCTCTTTGAACTCACTGGGGGTGGAAACCCACCCACCCCCACTATTGTATTTGTCATGGGAGAATTTGTGGGGCAAGGTTTCAGAGACCACAGAATCAAGTGGGGGCTACTTAAGGTCTACAGCGAGCTTGTTGCCCACCCCTGCCTTAAATGTGCATTTAAGGGCGCTTGAAGTAGGGATGCAAATCTCACAGCATCTTGCTCTCTGTGAGAAGCTGTGTGTTTGTGTGTGTGAGAGAGATCTTTCTTTTCCTCACTGTGAGGTTTCTCAGTGAATTTTTCCCCCAGAAGGAAAATTCAGGGAAATCTTCCAAAATTTATTGGAGGTTTCATGGTTGTTGTTCTTCTGGATAAAAACATCAAGCTGTGCAGGATTGTTACAATATTTGTATATGATGGCATTTTTTCCTGTGCCCAGTTTCCCTGGGATTCTTGTCCCGACAAGACTGGGAAAATTGTAGAGAACCAGAAAATTGGGAGGGGGGTATTCATTGTGTCCCTAGAGTAGGGCCTGCTAAGTTGAACTTGGCATAATCTTTAGTCCATTATCTCTTACTTCATCAGCACTTAGGAGAGCAAAAGAGGGAGTGAATTTAAGGCCACTAAAGTGATATCTTTAGTACAGGGGTCAGGGAACTTTTTTACCTTTTCGCCCCCCAAAAAATTATATACACCGACATTATCCCCTTGATTTGAAAGGAAGGAAATCATACATTAAAAAATATTATTGAATCTACACAGGCTGTGT